CAACAGTTAAGAGATGCCGTGTGCGTTGGCAGAAAGGCTTCATTGGCGCGGCATTGGTGCTTCTCGCTGGCCGGGGCCGCCGCCGACACCCCCGGGGGCCGGCAGCGGCCGGACGCACAGAAGAAGCCCACCGAAAGGGCCCGGCCGGGAATGGGGAACCCGGGAGGCTCAGAGGTAGCGGTTTTGACGTATGTACCGGAGGGCCAGGATGTGCACGGCCGGGCGGATGGCTTGCCACAGGCGGCGGTCCTCCTCCTGCTCCGGCAGGGCGTCTCCCTGGGCGGCCTCCCCCTCGATCCAGGGCTTCGGTGGGGGCTCCTCCCCGCCGGAGGGGTCGGCCCCCCGGCACCGGCACCCGCCCAGCACCATGGCCGGGCGTCGATTGACCGACCCATCGAAGCGCCACATGAGCGAGCCGATCCGCCGCTCGGGGATGGCCTCATTCCGCAGGAGGATCCGACACTGACGCAGCGTCACCCCATCGGGTCCGGCATCGCCCCCATCCGCCGACTCGGCTGCCGCCGCGGTCGCCGCCGCCGCCGCCGCCGCCGCCGCAGATCCGGGCCCCGCCGACGAAGAGCCGGGCCGGGCGCCCGGGACCGACCATACCCCGACGAAGGAAACCGGGTGCCGCGAGCCCGGGACCCCGCTGTCCGCGGCGAAGCGCTTCCGTGCCGACCCCTCGGCCAGCCGATCCGCAAGCAGCATGCGCACCACACTGGAGCAGTGGGGATCGATGGCGGCCATTTCCCACTCTTCTGGCCGCAGCGCCGGCACCCGGCGGCTGGCCAGCGGCACGGCAGCCACCCGAAGCATGGCCACCGCCGCCGACAGCGAGCACTCCGGGGCATGGGGCCCGGTGGTGGGCATGCCGCCGGGCAGGATGCCCGCTTCGGTGGCCGGCACCGTCAGGGGCACGCCCTCGGCGGCCAGCGGCGCGAGGGCCCCACCGAAGCGGCGCATCCACCGCCGCGTCATGTTGTCCAGCATGGCCATGTCGCCGGCCATGCCGCCGTAGGCCCGGCGAAGCTGCAGGCTCAGGAGCAAATCGCGCACAGGCGCCGACAGGCGAAAGAGCGATGCCGAGCCGAGCTTCATCCCCCGGCCGGCCGGGTCCCGGTCAAATGGCCACACGTTAGTGGGAGATCCTCAAGGGAGAGGGGGCACAGGGAGGAAAGGCGAGAAAAAAAAAGCAACAAGTGAGCAATGAAGCCCCGGAACGAACGGTGAAGCTGGACCCGGCCGACCAGTCCGGAGGATCGCAGAGGGTCATCCCGGGCAGCGGCCCGCCCGTCGACGGTCCGCCGGTCGGCACTTCGGCGCCAGGGCCGCAGGCCGAGGCTGCCGATCGGGGCCCATTTCCAGCGGTGTCCCGGGGCCCGGGCCCCGGGGCGGTGCTCGCGCCCGGGCAGGCCCCCTCGACTGCATCTTGCAAAGGGACCGGGTCGGCGTCCGGGCGAGGAGGGGCCAATGCGGCGGAGGTGGCCTTGCCGGGCCTGGTCTCGGAGCAGGTGCCCGCTCTGGCATTCGGCCCGGGACCGGCGACCACCGGCCCGGACAGGTCGCCATGCTCGGCCCAGGGCACGAGACCGCCCCCGGCCAGCAGATGCACCCAGCCCAGCACCCAGTCAAATTGGGCCCCCGTCAGGCGGAAGCCACGCGAGTGTGCTGACATCAGCCAAATAACCACCGGCACTTGGAAGTGCACGGCCACATCCTCCACGGCGATGATCGGAAGCCGTCGAAGGAGCTCGCTCTGGCAGACGACAAATCAGTCCCGGAGTGATGGCGAGCGATGGGGCCCGGCCGGCCTTTCCCGGCCGGCCGGGAAAAGGCACCAGCCCCAACGTACCATGTCGAGAGTGGCCAGGTGTTTGGCCGTTTGCACGGCCAGACCGGCACGCTGTCGGCGCACGCACTTTTGCAGGTGGCTCTTCAGCATGGACACCGCCCCGGGAGAGATGAATGCCCGCGCCTCCGGCGTCAGGGGAAAGCACCCTTCATCGGCCCCGGATCCGAGCCCGGCCCCGGCCAAAGGGGTCGGGCGTGCGCCGGCGGCCCGGCATCGGCTGCCCAGGCCCCGGCATGGGAGGCTCCCCGGGCGATCGGCCCCGGCCGGGCAGTCGTGTGTCAGGAGGAGCTCCACCCGCCGGCGCCCCTGGCGCCATTCGAAGGAGCCGATGGAGGAAATGCACAGTCTCTCGGTGGCCCCCGGGTCGACGGCCACATCCGGCCCCAAGGCAGTGCGCAGGGTTGTCTCATCGGAGCTCCGGGAAAAGTGGGCCCGCGGCAATTGGTCATCCCAGTGAAGCACAAAGTACTCCGGCAGACTGGTGTCCAGGCCGCCGAAGAACTGGTGCAGGCGTGTCTGCCGCGCAGCCGGGGCAGAGCCGCTGTCGGTGAACATCCGGCGATGGGCGAGCCGGAGAGCGGAAGCACCGGCGTGCGTGTGTGCGTGCGTGCGTGCGTGCGTATCTGCTTGCCCGCGTGGAAATGCGCCCGGCCGAAGACGCAAGGCTGAATGGGATTCGAGCTGAGGGCAGGATGGGCAAAAGACAAAGGGCGAGAGGAGTGATGCTTCTTCCGGCTTGGCGCACCCTCGTGCTTTCGCCCGTGCAGGGGCCGCACATATGGGCCCTCTCCAGCGCCCAGTGCCCACCCTGCCGATCGGCGGGCCACGCCGCGAGAACGATCGCCGCCCAATGCCCAGGCACACCACCAGGCCGCAGCTCTCTCACACACACACACGCGCGCGCGCACGCGCAAGCAGCCGCATGGTCGCTGACCGCCACCGCCACCACCCTTGATCGATGCACCCACCCCCCAATGCAGTATTCCCCTGTTCCGCCCGGTGCCCGCCCCGGCCGCGCTTCGCGCGACTGAAACCGCCCCCCCCCCGCCAGGGAGCTTCTTGGCGCCACCATAATGGGCTTAACTTAACTCAAGGTCTATTGTGGGCGAGGCGCTGATCAGAGCTGACGGCGTTTCCGGGCCGGGGTCGGGGCCGCCGGGGTGGCCGGGCCACCTGGCGCCGCGTGCCCAAGCCGGACGGTCTGGACAAAGGGCGAAAAGAGCCCCCCTCGAGGCGGAGACCCCAGCGCTCCGAGGCCCATCGGCTGCCCGGGGGTCCAGGCGTTCGTTCGTGCGGGCAGCGGCGTGCCCGGGGGGCCGTCCCCGCCCGGGGCCGGCTCCTGGATTGGGGAATTGGCCGCAGGCTCGGATGCGGCCATGGCTCCCTGGCGGAAGCGCTGGGCGCTCCCATGATACAGGAGCAGCAAGGCAGCCAGGCGATCCGCCTGGCGGACGACATTGGCCCCATCATCCTCGGCCCCGTCGGTCCCATCCGCAACCAGCGGCAGGAGCTCGTGGTCGAGGAGCTGCGCATGGCCCGGGGCCGGGGCCGGGGGCCCACCGCCACCGCCACCGTCACCGCTGCCGCTGGCGCTGCCACTGGGGCCCGGTGGCGGGCCAGGCCCCCGGTCGCCGGTGCCACCGCCGCCGGTGCCACCGCCGCCGGTCAGCAGGGACAGGGCATCCTGCGGCCCGGCGCGCCAATTAAACCCGGCATCAGGGCGGAAGGACCGCAGCAGCAGCAATCCCACTCGACAAAGGAGCAGCAGGCGTTGGTCCAGCTCGGTGAGCGGGCCCGCGGCCACGGACCCCGGGCCCGGGGTGCTCGGCGCCCCGGGCGACATCGCGCTCGAAGAGGTCCCCATCGGCCCGGATGCCGGGGCCACCCGTCGCCGGGAGAGGTCCTTCAGCAGCCCCTCCAGGAGGGAGACACTGCGCTGGTCCAGCGGCACGGACTCGATGGGGCCGGCTGTGCGGCCTGCTGCCAGCAGATCCTCAAGCAGACGCTCGGTGCTCGAGCCGCCGGGGGCCGGCTCCGCGCACAGCCCCTCCAGCACCAGCAGCAGCGGCCCGAGCAAGAACGAGTGCTGGGCCAGGAAGTACCGTGACACGCCGATCTCCGCGCAGAGGGTCAAGCTCAAGCAGGCGGGATCGCCGCCGGGCAGGTGGCCGGGCCGGGCGCTCGGCCCCGGGGCCAGGGAGCTGGCACACAAGTTCACCGAGCAGGTGGCCAAATAGACCAGCGTATACTGGAGGGCGAATTCCGGCAGCAGCGGCACGGTGGCCCGACTGCGAGCCCACAGGCGCCGACGGCCCAGCAGCCGACACAGGGCCCCGGTGGCCGGGTGACAGGAGAGCCCCATCCCCGCGGCCAGGTCCAGCCCCGGCCAGGGCCCCGGGTGAATGTCCCCCGACAGGGGGTCCTCTCCGGGGGCATCCGGAAGCAGGAGCACCGGGACCGGCTCGCAGAGGGCCAGCGGCAGGAGGGCCAGCAGGCGCCGGTCGGCCGCCGGGTGAGCCACCGCCCGGGTGACCAAGCACCGGCGGAGCTCCCTCAAAGGCCGGCCATGGTCCGGGCCATCGATGGGGCCCGTGTCCGGCGGGTCCCCCGGGCCGTCCGGCCAAGCGGCCAGGGCCACGTAGTACCCGCCGCCGGTGGTGGCCACATGTGCCAGCAGGCCCCCGGCCAGGTCGCCTGGCTGGGCGACGGCCAACAGGGCCACGCGGGACAGGACCGCCAGCGGCGCCGGGCCCGAGTCATCGCTGCCCGAGCCGGAGGACCAAAGGAGCCGGAGCAGCTCGCCAGCCGCGCGCATGCGCACCAGGTGGAAGGCCGTCAGTCGCGCGGCCATGGCCGCATCGGGCCCCATGGACGGGGCCATTGTCCCGCGGCCGACCGCCAGCGGGCTCTGGCAGAGGGCCGTGGCGTATTGCACAAACAGCTGGCCCAGCTGCAGGGCATGCCGGCGGACCGTGTCCATGGTCCCAGCCGCCGGTGGGCCGCCGACAATGCGGTCGGTGGCCGCCGAGCAGTCCAGCCACACCCCGGGCGGCGTGCCCTCGCCGGCGGTCACGGCCACCTGCGCCGCGCGCCGCAGCGCCAACAGCGCCAGCAGGCAGGCCTCGGCCCGGCCGGCCAGCGAGGCCCAGGGCCCGGCCGGGGCTGCCACCCGGCCGGCCAGGCGATCCGCCGGCCGGAGCAATGCCGACCCGGCCCCGGGCAAGTCCGCCCCCTCGGACCAGCGTTCCGCGTCGCCCGGCCCGGTGGCCAGGCAGCTCAATAGCACCCGGGCAGTTCGACCAAAAAGCCCCGGGTGACAGAGGAACTCCGCCGCGGCGACCGGATCCGCCGCCCACAGGGCATCCAGCCCGACGATGTCACTTTCCTCCAGGACCCGGTCCACCAGGGCAAAGAGCAGGCTGCAGGCGGCCAGGTCCGGCCGGTGACCCGGGGCCCGGGGCATGCTCCGGCGCACGCACCGGTACATATGGACCAGGCCCCGGCGCGAGAGGACGCCCCAGGGCCCGGCCGCGTCACCCCGGCCGAGCAGGCCCGCCAGCGCCGCATGCAGGCCGAGGACCAGGCGCCGCTCGGGCTCGGCCGCTCCCTCGCCCAGGCAGGCCGCTGCCACGGCCAGGCCGGCTTCCAGGGCATCCGCACCGGCAGCCGGCCGGGCAAGCCACGACACGGCGGCATCCAGCAGCGGGGCGTCGGCCTGGCGACCGAGCCCCACCGCCGGCCACATGACCAGCAGCCCGCCAGCCAGCCGCCACAGGGACTCCCGAGCCTGGCTCGGCCCATGGGCCAATGCCTCGGTCAGGGCCTCCTGCGGGAAGCCCACCCCCAAAAGCGCGTGCAGGTATCCGGCCGCCGAGGCGGACAGGAAGCGCGGCGGCCCGGACCCCGGCAGCGCCTCGGCCGCCGGGTCGTCCGGCCGAAGGCCGGCCAACAGGCGCAGGCGCTCACGCGCCTGGCCCAGCGCCTCCCGGCTGAGACTCCCCCGGCCGAGGACCACCTCCAGCACCTGAACCGGGGTCCAGCCCGGGAGGAACCAGCCCCCGGGCGGGGGCAAGGCCGCCGGGATGGCCAGCGTCCGGCCGGTTTGCCGGCGCTCCTCCGCGGCCAGCAGCACCAGGCGACCCATGTGCCGTGCGCCGAGGTCGCTGCCGAGCCCGCGGGCCAGGTCCCCCTGGAAGGCCAGCAAAAGTTGCTGACGACGCCGGCGAGGGTCATCCGGCCCGGCGGGGGCCGAGCCCGCCCGTGCCAACTGCGCCTGCAGGGCCTCGGGCAGTGGCGCCCCGGGATCCGCCCGGAGAACCGCCTCCCCGATGGCCAGGCAGCGAAGCAGCGCGGCGCTGGCCTCGGCCTCCCGGCGCCCGGTGCCCCGGGCCAGCTGCTGCTGCTGCTCCGGGTCCAGTCGTGCCAGGAGCCAGCCAATCGCGGCCCCAGGGTCGCCGGCGTCGGCCGAGGCGCGGCCCGCGGCCGTGGCTCCGGGCCAGGGGAAAGCCAGCCCGAAGGCCGCGCGCGTCGCCAGCCCCCGGGCCGCGCTCAGGCCGGCCAGCCGGCCGGCCAGCAAGCGACCACACGCCGGGATGTGGCACTCCCGGCAGAAGCCCCCAAGCGGATCACGACAGAGGAGCTCTCGCAGGACCTCGGGCCCGGTGGGGGCGGCCGCGCCGCCCGGCAGCACCAGCATCAGCGTCAGCAGCCGATGCAGTGCCCGGCCGGCGCCGGCGGCCGAGGGGATATCCTCCGCTTGGAGGCAGGAATCCGCCAGCCGCGTGACAACCGAGGCCAAGCATGGCCGCATGCCGGTGCTGCGAGCCCCCTCGGTGCCCTCGACCGGGGGGAGGCCGCCGGGCGCCGGGTCGCCGGCCGGCGGGGCCGGCTCGGCGAAGGCGCGCCGCAAAGACGCCCCCAGCCAGCCGCCCGCCCGCCGGTCTGCCTGTTGGAGCAACGCATCCAGGAAGCTGGCCAAGGTGGTGGTGGCTTGCAGGCGGACCCGGTCGGCCGTGTCGCCCGATGCCTGCACCAGCAGCCGGACCCCCGGGCCCAGGTCCCGCAAGGTGGCCGACTGGCCACCGGGGCCGACCAAGCGCCGGAGCAAGGCCTCCGGCCCCGACTCCGTCCCGCCACCGGTCACAAGCTTCCGAACCAAACGCCCCAGCCAGGAGGCGGCCACCGCGCGCACCCAGACATCCCGATCACGCAGGCGCTCGAAGAGCAGCGGCCAGACGAGATGCTCGAATTTGGCCCCCACCGCCAGGGCCAAGTCGCCGGGGGACTGGTCGGGCGCCATGGCTCCGACCATCACCGGCGCCGATTGTGCCCGATGGAAAGACTCGCAGCCCAGCAGCCCGGCCAGCAAACCGCAGCTGAGCCCACGCTGCCAGGCTGCCGGAGATCGCTGCAGCACCAGCAGCGCGAGCAACAGGCCGCGCGACAGCCCCGGCGCAGCGAGCAGAGCCCGGGAAAAGAGCCGCACCGGTCTGGGAGCCAGCTGCCCTGGCGAGGTGCCCGGACTGTCTCCCCATGGACAGCGGTCAAGGCGCAGGGGATCCTCGGTGTCGGTGAAGATGGCCGATCGCACCGTGAGCCCATGCAGCAGGTCCGCCAGATCGCCAGGGCCCACAAGCATGCCGGCTACCAGGAGTCCGGCACAGGTTGGCCCGGCGGGAATCCCAGCCGGCAGCAAGACCCCAGCACCAAGGTGCACGCGGAGGACCCCCTCGACAAAGGCCGCACGCGCGCCAAGGGCATGGACCAGCACCGGCGGCAGCCCAGGCTCACCGGTCAGCAAGGCAGGAAGCCGCCGCAGGAGAGTCGGCAGGGGCAGTGCCGGGGCAACAGGCGCATCGCCAGCCGATGCATGGGGCCCGGGAGCCAGGAGATTCGAGCAACGCTGGGTGGGGGGTTTCCCGACGCGATCGAAGTGGGTGTGTGTTCCAGGGCACCGGGGCGGGGAGAGGGGGGAGACTTGTTAGAATGCGCATTTTCACCACATGCCGGGGGAGGTGCCTGCCGGGCATGGCCGGCGCGTCAGCCACCATGCGAGCATCCGGACGAGAGCTGGCCGACGAGGCGAGCAGCCACTGCCCATAGCCGGTGAGGGATCCTCTTGGGCGTGCGTGCGTGCGTGCGTGCGTGCGTGCGTGCGTGCGTGCGTGCGTGCGTGCATGTGCACGGGCGGGCGAAAGGCGCACCTGCTCAACGTGGGGTCCGAGAATGTCCCAAAGCGCGCGGAAGAGGCGCCTGGTGACCAGCGATCCGGCCAGCGACCGAGCGCAGTAGCCGGCAAAGCAGGAGCACCGGATGAAGCCCGGCTCCAGGGAGGTCGCCGGCCCGGGGGCCACCCGGCCGGACAGCAGAGACAGTCGTCAGAGGAAGTCCTCCATGCTGGGCGAGGGTGTGCCCTCCGTCACCGGGCCGAGGCACTGGTGGCAGGGGAAAGCCCCCCCGGCCGGGGGCACGGCGTCCCCCATGCCGCGGGCCAGGATCCCGCACATGTCAGCCAGATTGTCCAGCAGCAGCATGTCCACCAGCAGCGCCGGAACAAGGTCCCCTTCGGCGATCAGCTGCTCGGCACATTCGTAGGCTGCCTCGCGGAGGCGGTGCGGATCGGCCCCGCCACTTTGAGCCAAGCGCCGAAGGAGCCCCAGCAGGCCGGCCAGGGCGCAGGCCACCAGCCGGTCGGCCTCGGCAGCCACATGCCGGCCAACGGGCTGGGCCATGCCCGAGGGGCCGGGCGGCCCGGCCAGAGCCTCGGGATCGTCACGCAATGCCGGCAGGATGGCCAATGAGTGGCTCAGAGCCAGCCGCCCAAGGAGATAGGCGTCCCGGCGATTGGGCTGTCCCTGGATGTCGGCGCCAGCGTCCGCGGAGCCGGGACCCGCCGGCGCCTCGAAGCGCAGCAGACAATCCACCAGCAGCCGCATGACACGCAGCAGCCCGGTCGGACCATCGGGGAATGGCGGCTCCGGGGCCGACAAAATGAGGACATCCACCAGGCAGCAGGCCACCAGCTGGCGAGTGCCGAGGTCGGCGTGCGCGCGCGGCGGCTCGGCCCACGGGCCCGTGTTGCCCTCCAGCAAGGGCGATGCCGGCCCGGCCTCGGCGAAGCGCGGACTGTGCAGGAAGTACGGCTGATACAGATAGCCCGCCAGGGCATGGAGCTCCTGCGATCGGACTTGTCCCTGCTCCTTGGAGGACAGGTAGTGTTGGAGTTGCTGCAGGGGGGGGGGGGGGGGGGGGGGGGGGGGGAGCCCATGTTAAAGGTCCGGCGGTCAGGAGGAAGCCGATGCGGCAACCGGCGACGGCAATTCCCGGAGAGAGAGAGAGAGAGAGAGAACCCCCAGCGAGACGCACCTCCACCGACTTGCGGACTTCACGGGGCGGATGTTGTCCCGGCTGACGAAGACGCCCCGCATCGAAAGAGGGCGACCTGCCAGGGGTGCGCGGACTGCGCGCCTGCTGCGGCAGATCGCCCATTCGGATGGGTCACCAGGACGGCAGGCGTCAGACGTGGCGAAAAGGAGCCAGAGAGAGCAGTGTGAGGGCGAGCTAGGCAGGGGGGGGGGACGGGGGAGGGGTCATGGTCACCTCGCTGGCGCTCGATCGGCCCGCCTCCCGAGTGGCACTTGGACCGTTCGCCGAGCTGCCCCCGCCCGGGGAGCGAGCCCCTTAGCCGGCATTGGTCGGTCCCCGTTCGAGGCATCCTCCGTCCGGCCGGGAAACACACGCACCCCCCGAAGAACGAAAGGACCACCCAAGGGGGGATGCCTGATCGCTAGCCGGCGGGGAAGTTCAAAAAAGCGGCTCAGGCGCGGGCAAATGGCCGGCGATCCGTTGGCATTCCGGGATTACGTAGAACCCTCGCCCGAATACGCATTTGCGTATGTATCTTTGGGCGCCGAAGAAAATGTGCCTCCGAATGTGACCTCACAAATGTGGCATCCCACGGGCCAGGGGTGTGTGGGCCTCTTTGCAGGCTCCTCGGGGGGTACTTTCCCGAGTGAGCACAGCGACAGTGAGAGCGAGCAGGGACAGCGAGCAGAGACAGCGAGCAGAGAGAGCGACCGGAGGGCCGGCGATGCCACCATCAAAGGCACTCCACCTGGCTACCATCCGGACGCGTCGTCGGGCCTCCCGCAGCACCTGGGAAGAATGCGCGCGGGGTGGGGTGAAAAATGTGCAGGGAGGGGGGCACAAAGGGCCGGCCGGCGGGCATTTACGTGTCCGCGCTCCGCACCGGCCGATCCCTGGATCTGCCACTTCCCGATCACGGCCAGCCCGGGGGGGGGCGGGGCGAAGGTGGCACGTCGTTGGTACGTGTGCCACCGGCGCGACAATCGACCAGGGGCTCCTCAGGACGGAGACCGGGGTCGTCCGTTTCCGCGGCCGTCTGCACGCCGCACCCCTTGGGGGAGGGGGAGCGGCGAAGGCGATGAGCGCGTTGAAAAGGTCTTAATTTCGTGTTCGGTTCAGCCATGTTCCTGGGAGCGCTGCTTCGACCAAATGCCCCTGGCCCAAGCCCCGGCACCTTCGCCGGCGCGCCGATCGCGCAATGAATTGTTTGAGGGGGGGGGGGGCCGGTTGTTTGGAACATCTGGGCTCGAGCCGGCTCTCCGGGGGGCCCCCCCCGGCGCCCCGCCCCGCCCCGCCCCCACACATCCATCCATCCATCCAGATGCCCTGCCGGGTATTTCACGGCCCGGCTTGGCCTGGAGGCGCCCCCCGGCGGCGCCAACGACCACCCCTCCCCCCCTCTCCTCCTGCCACTGTTCCTGCTCCCCGCCCTCCCGACCCAGCTCCCTCGCACCTCCGGATCCGGCACCTCCCGCCCCGCTCCTGCTCCCCGCTCCCCGGGTGATCCCATGGACCCCGTTCGATCCCCCACCCCGGAGGAGGATGCCCCTCCCTCGGCGTCCGCGGTGGTTAATTTGAATGGCAACTCGTCGGAATGCTTCCTGGATCCAGCCACCGCCCAGCCACCTGCCTCCGGCAGCAATCTCGGGTGCGCATCCGCTGTCCTCCCCCCCCCCCCCCACCGGCTTTGACCGGAATCTCACACTAGGCGCCCCCCTGCCTGCGTACCTTCCCCTGCTCACCCCCTCCCCCGACTTTGTCCCCCCTCCTCCCTTCCCCTGGCTGCAGCATGACCTTCTCCGAGTTTGACAGCGCCGCTCAAGCAGCGCCCCCTCTCCCTATGATGGGCCTGCATCCGCAACCCCCGCCGCAGGTATCGAGCAATGGCTGGGGACTTGCCTGGGCGGCCAACAACCTTTGGCGCAGCGTGCTCATGCGCCTGGTCAAGCGTGGCCTTGGCATGTGGATCGACTTCACCGATGAGAAGAACAACTACGGCGTGGTGGTCGGCGTGGACTTCCTCCGCGTGCGTGGACCTCAGCGCGGCTTCCTGCCCTGGTGCTGGAACTGACACCCGCCCGATGTCCCCTCCCCCCCTCCTCCGGTCCTCGCCCTTCCGACTGACCCTTTGCCTGCCCAGATCGATGGCGAGCTTCGCCACATCACCCTGAACCAGGCGCGCATCAATGCCCTCTTGCGTCAGCCGGAGGCCGTCGGCGAATCGGGCTTCTGCTTCCAGATTATCTCCTCCGGTGTGGACAAGATCTCTCTCAAAGTCCCGTGGCGATCTTTCTTCTCGGGTGCGGCGGTTCTCCTCTGCTTTGCCTTCCTCCTCCCCCGCCGACACACACACACACACACACACACACACACACACACACACACACACACACACACACACACACACGCGCGCGCGCACATGCATATCTTTACGTGGGGCACTCTAACTCACTGGACTTGTGAATCCCATGTTCCTGCGCTCCAGACACCTTTTTTGCCGGCATGGAGAACGCCCATGTCACCCTGGTCATGGTTCCGGTGCGGGACTTGGTCAAGCCGGCGGCCCTGTCCTCTGCCGCTCCCCCGGCCCCGGGGACCGATGATCCGGCCGAAATGATTACCTCTGGCGTGTCGATCCTTGGCTGGCTGCTGGACCGGACTCTGAACAATCTCCAGGTACCCTCGAGCCAGGAGTGTGCTGGTCCATGCATCGGATCGGCAAGATGTCCCCCCGGTTGTCGGCTTGGCTGGCACCCCCGCCCCCCCCCCCCCCCCCATGCATGTGTCACTGACTCCTGGCCACCCCTTTGCACCCTCGCCCTCCCCTCTCCCCTGGCCCCTGCTCGGCCCGGGTCCCAAGATCTGCCTCAGCGACCTGGAGCTCAGCGTGCACCTGTGCCATGCCATGACTCTTGCCCAAATTGAGGCGGCCTCCGCGGTCGGCTCGCTGTCGGCCTTTTCGCCCCTCGCCCGGGCCGGGGTCCGGCTTGATCGCTTTTCCGCCGGCCGAACCGGCGGCGAGCCTCAAACGGATGCCGACCCCCCTGCCGAGCCGGCCCAGGGCCCCCAATTCCGGCCCTTCTGCCAGCTGACCACCCACCTGAATGGGGTGTCGGTGTGGTTGGATGACATTGCTGTTGGACAGCCGGGCGTTCCACGAGGGCCCGCCGCGGGCGGGTCCCCCTCGCCGGAAGGTCGTGCGGCTGACTCGGCCGACGCAGATGCCGAGCGACCGCTTGTTTGGGTGGACCCCCTGCGTCCGACCTCCACCCCGGAGCACATCTGGCCATTCGATCCGCTGGTTTCCCCAGTCCCCAGCATCAGCATGTCCCTCTGCCTGGCTCGGTCGGCGGCTTCCCTCGGCGCCGAGCAGGCCGGCTTCTTCCCGCTCCTGTCCCAGCGCGCGCCCTCCTTCGAGGTGGGCTTCGACCTGAAAGTGGGAGTACGAGCCGACCGCGCCCCAGCCTGCTTCCCTCCCTCCTCCCCTTTGTCCCCTGCTCTTCTTCCGCCTGCCATCCGACCCGCCTGAGCTTGCCTCGCCTCGCCTCGCCTCGCCGCGACCTGCAACATGCCCCCCCCTCCCCTTCTCCCCTCCACGCCCCTTTCTGCCTCCATACATGGCACTCACCCCGCGGCCCTCACTGCTTTCAATGCGTCGACCCGCGCCTGGCAGCCTGTCCGATCGTATGTCGGTCTCCGGCAGCTGGCGATCCTCAGCCGGTTCTCCCGGTTGGCCGATGCGGCCGCCGCCACGGCAACCTGCGCCTGCCAGGAATCCGCCCACCAGTCAGCCGCCTGCCGGAGGTGCTTCCAATCTGGGCCCGTGGCGGCCGGGGGATTCCTGCGCAGCTTCATCGCCCCCCCGCCCGGGGGCGACCCACTGCACCAGCAGCCTCCGGGCCTGAACTCCCTCATGAGTCTGCTCTACATGGCCCCATCGGTTCGGTCCTCGATTGCCCTGAACTCCGTCAGCATTGACCCTAGTCGGCTGATGTCCCTGTACAATGCGTCCAGCTTCATGGCCGGGTCGGCCATGAGCTCCATGCATGGCCTCGGCACTGTCGGCGATCTCGGGCAGTCTTCCTTCATGCCGGTCCATCCGCAGGATTCCGACATGGGCACCCACGCGCCCCCGGGTGGAGGTGCCCCTTCGGCGTTCTCCTTCGACCAGGCCTTCTCTCTGCGGCCAGTGTTTGAAAGCTCCTCGGGCCGGTGCGACCCCGCGAATGGCCCCACACGTGAATCTCTCTCCCTCTTCCTCTCTCCCTCTTCCTCTCCCTCCCCGGTTCTTGGATCCCTAACCCTCGGCGAGGACCCCTCTTCCCTGCCTCTCCTGGCTGCGCGTCGCCCGGCGGCCATGCCGGCTACCTGTGCACAGTCGCCAGGCCACCATCAGACGCATGCTTCGCAATGAATTCCACCGGATTCGGGGTACGTCAATGGGGCATCCGCCTTTGGGCGGCCGGTGTCCGGTGTCCACTGTGTCTCCCCCCCCCCCCTTTTCCGGCTATTGACCGCAGCGCTGTCGTATCTTCTCGGGGGGCGGGGGAAAAAAAAAAAAACCAGGACAATCTCAAAAGGCCTCGCCCAAGCAGCGCCCCGGTCGAGCCTCCCGGCAGAGCACCAATCTGGATGCCCTGTCATCGGCGGTTCACCGGGCCAGCTTGGCCGCCGGCCCGGGCGACGAGCTGGCCGGGCCGGATTCCCCCGGCCCCTTGACCGCGCCTGCCCGTGGCAATGAAGCCGGCTGTGCGGCTGGCGTTGTGCCGGAGCCGGGCCATGCCAGCACCCCCGGCTCCCGGGCGCCGTCTCCCCCGGACACGGGCCCCGACGACAGCACCGACGAGGAGGATGACGACTATGATGAAGTGTTCTACGATGCCCTCTCCTCGCTGTCCCTGACGTCGGAATCGCTGGCCCATCTACTGAGCTCCAGCCCGACGGCCGGCACCCCCTCGGCCGACCTGCCGGAGGGGGATCTCCTCTTCGAGGGGGATCTCCTGTCTGACCAGCCCGAGAGCATGTCCCTTTTCAATGAGCTGTCCAACCTCTTTTTGGTTCCCGTCGGCTGCATTCGCTTCCTGATGAATGGTGCGTCGGGGCTTCTTCTTTCTTTTTTTTTTCGCCTTTGCCCCCGGTCTTTTCGCGGCCTGCCATATGCCTCCCTTCCGCCCCCCCCCGGGAGGAGGGACCAACCCACAACGGACAGGCGGCGCGCGGGCCGGTGTGCTGTGCGGCGGCCCCCGAGAGAGGTGACTATGGGGTGGGGGGAGTGCGAGGATGAGATCCCCCCCCCCCCCCCCCCCCGCAATTTGGCTTGCCGGAGGCGCAGCCGCTCTTCGCCACCATGTTGACCCGCGCATCCTCCCCGGCCGGGTTTGCCTCAGCCACCTTCGACTCGGTGTCTCTTCACTTGGACATCTCCCAGGCCGGGGCCGGTCTGGCTGCCCGGGACCGGCTGTCTGTGCGCCTGGATCAGGGGTTCACCTTCCGCATGAACTCCCACGCCAGCCCCTCGGCCGGGCTGATGGCCACGGTTCGGCGGACCCTGGCCGCCAGTCAGCCCACCCTGACGGCTGCCACCATCCGGACGCCCATCTTCCTGGATCCTGGCGACCCGGCCGGCGATGGGGCCTCGGCGCCAGGCCCGGGGGCCGACCCGGCCACCGGCCCCGAGCCGCCCCAAACACCCGATGACCCCCACGGGCACTTTGTTTACTCCATGCGATTGGCCCTGCTCGGGGAAATGTCGCTCACCGAACGCCGGAGCACTGACTGCCGCATTCTGGCCATCGAGCCGCGGGTGTCCACCCTGGCCGGTGCCCCGGCCGAGGTGCTGACCCTGGCCGTGGAGCATGCCGGCCGGGACCTGTGCGAGCGCCTGGCCCCGGCCGAGGGGGACGCCTCGCTGCCGGATGGGCTGCTGGGCATCTTCGCCGCGGTGCCCGGGCACCTGAGCTTGGACTTGGATCCCTTCCTGCCGGATCGCCTGCTCCCGGCCCTGGCCCTGCTGGGCCCGGGACCGGGGGAGCTGGCCGACGAGGCTGCACCCCCCGGCGGCGGCGGCGGCGCCGCCGCCGCCCCCCGGACACAACCCCCGGTGGTCAGTCCGGCCGAGCCGCCCCAGCGCCGGATGATGGTCGGCCTGCTGGACCTGCCGCATCCGGTGCATGTAAACATCGCGGTTCCGGACAGTCGCCGGGTGGCTGCCGACAAGGCAGCCGGCCCTCGGGCCGATCCCCGGCCCCGGCCGTACCTGCGGCCGGATGTGCAAATCCTCCTGGTCCTGGGCCAAACGCGCGTGGCGTTCGGCCGGCGGTTGCATTGCTGCGAGCCGGTGCCCAGCCGGCTGGGGGCCTGCCCCGTCACCGGCGGGTCCAATGCCTCCGCCGGTGCGCCGGCCCCCTCCTCGGCAGGGGCCCCCCATGCCGGTCCCCACGCGGCCACCGGGGGGCCGCATCTGCCCGGCCTGGGCGGCCATGTGCCCGCCCCCGGGGCCGGGTGTGCCGCCGGCCGTGCCACCTGTCCCCTGTATCTGGAAGCCGGCTGCGGGGACTTCTTGGTGTTCCTTGTGGCGCCCGGTGTGCACTATCCAGCCCGGGCCGGCAGCGACCTGTCGGCCTTCCCGCCGGTCTTCCACTCTCGCAGCTTGGAGGCACGCGTGCGCATCGGCCCGGTGGCCGATCCGGCCCTGGCACATGCCTCCCGCCCGGCCCTGCTGACGGCCTTCCGCGTGCCGCCGGTCCAGCTCGGCGACCCTGCCGGCGGGCTGGCCACCAACTCGGGCCCCGGTGGCCCGGCAGCCGCCGGGACTGCCCCCGGCGTCCCCGGCTCCAGCGGGCTCTCGCCCGGGGAGCGTTCGGCCTCGCCGTCGGGCCGGAGCCCCGACCTCCGTGGCTCCTCCTCGGCCACAGGCGCCCCGGGCCCGGGCGGGGTCCCCGGCACAGAGGCGGGCCAATCCGCCGCCGGCGGGCCTGCCCCCCCTCGACGTGGGTCCCCCTCGCTGGCGACACTGGCTCGAACGCGCGTGCATTTGGAGCTGGCTTTTGGGGACAGCTCCGTCGGGTGTCGCGTCCTGGCAGCGGCCCCCTGCCTGGCCCGGTCCCCCACCCCGAGCAGTGTCTACCTGCTGAATCCCACGTTGCCGGTGTGCGGCCTGGCCCTGGCCGCCGTGTGCTACGACGAATTGAGCTCCTTCCTCCCGACCGAGCTCATTTGGCGACCATGCCCCAAGGAGGCCGGTACGCTTGCACTTGCTCGCGCCCGTATCCGCGCATGGGCTTTTTTTCGTGCCCCCCCCCCCCTCTCCGCCCTTCTCCCCGTTCCTCTCTCTCACACACACACATACACACACGCGCCTTCGTGCATCGGCTCATAGGCTTGCAGCCGGGCCCGGCCGGCCTTCAGGCCAGCCTCGCAGGCCCCTCGGCCGAGGGAGGCAACGCCCCGCCAGCCGGCGGCTCGAATAGCTTGCATGATTTGGTCATCGTCGTGTCCCTGGACTCCCTGTCGATCCACGTTCCGTTGTCCTTCGACACGCCGTCGGGCGCGGCGGCGCGGAATGCCGGCCCCACCGCCACGGCCCCGGGCCCGAGCTCGCGGCCGGCCTGCCTGCCGCCCCTTTGCGCGGCCCTTTGCCGCGGGGTCTGCTCGGAGACGGCCGCCGGCCCGGGGCTCAACCGGTATGGCCAACCGCCGGCCGAGACGCTGCACATTGTCCTCGGGCGCTTCCGGGTCATTCGCATCAATGGCGTTCGCGGGAGCCCGGGCGTCAACCAAGCACACCTGACCATCGGCCATGCATTTGTCAACATCCTGAGCACCGGGGCCCCGGGGCTCCGGACGGCGTCCCTCTCCCCGGAAACGCTGGCCGCCCTGCCCACCCATCCGACCGCCCGGGCCCAGGCCTATTGCCTTCTCTATCGGGCCCTGTCGCCCTCGCTCATCTCCAGTCACTTGGCTCGACCGGTGGCCGAGTTGAGCACCACCGTGCCGAGCGCCTCGGCGGCCCAGCTGTCCGAGATGTTCAACCTCTCGCCGCTGATCGACGCGCGGCTGACCTACCACCTGGTGGAGTCGGCCACCCCGGTCACCGGGGAGCTCCCTTCGCCCGGCGGACCCGCCGGGCGCCCTGCCTGGAATGTGTCCACGGTGTCCGGGGCCCGGCGCTTCTTTGTCTACATCAAGCCGGTGGTGCTGCGCCTGCCGCCGGAAGACCTCTTTGCTCCGATCGGACGAGCCATCAGCACTTTCGGCACCGTGTCCGATGGCTTCCACGGGGGCGGGCCCTTCTGCCGGGGCTACTCGCCGCTGGCCGGCGAAACTGCCTTCGATGTGCGTCCCCTCGTTCCTTTTGGGTGCTTGCCCTCCGGCCGGGCAGTTGGCCTTTTGCGGGGGACTTTTGCCGGGGAGGGGCCGGGGGGGG